TTTTACGAGGATAATCTTCCTTTGAACGATTCTCGGGAAGCAATAAATCGCGAGGTAAAACGCGATTTGCCCGGCGTTGATTCGCCGCGTTCGTGCGAAAATAATCGGCGAAGGAGAAGGCGCCTCTTCTCTCCGCATTCTCGATAGGACGAGACAGGAACCTTTCGATAATCTGCCAATGAAGCTGTGGGCAAGAAACCCGACGCCACCTACGTGCGCCGGCAGTTTTAGTGCGTACACCGAACTCGAAGAGAACTAGCTCCGCTGCGGATCTAATCCTATTTTCGTTAGATCCGTTAATGGTTAATGGGAGGCAAAGTGGTCAGCGACCGGAACAAGGGCTAAGTCCGTCTTAAATCCCGTAGGAGGAGGGAAACCCTTGTAGCCCTTAGCCAAGGACCGTAATCCGCATGGGATAACTGTTGGCTGCGCTGTTGCTTCGCCGAGTCAAACTGTGCCGAGTGCGCGAGAAAGTTTTAATTATTATCGACAACCCGGTATTCTCTCTGCATTCCGAGCGACGAGATACGCTTATATCGCGAGAAACTCGGAGATGGAATAGTTTACACGCGCGCGTTAATCCTCCACAATTGGTGGAGCGGTACTCGGTTCTCGCGAACGCGCGCTTCCATGCGAAATTTAATTAAGCTACTAATTACAACGAGAGATCTGAAATTCGCCCGTAACGTATTATTCGCGCGCGAAAGATCGCGAAGGATATCGCGCGTTGGAGTATCGGACAATTCAAGTTCAGCGGAAGGACTCATGCCCGGAGGACATGACTAATTCGCCGAGTATATACTTAATCATTATTCGACTGTAATATGTGCAAGGGTAGAAACAACAATATCCTCCTTTCCCGCGGCGTTTCGCTTCGCGCGGCGAATCTTCTCCCGTATAGGCAAATATCGGGATCAAGGAGGATTAGAATTTGGATTTGCGAAATTTATGAAATTCGGCCTTCGAGTCCCTTTGAGAAATACGATCGTCACTCGTTCGTTATCGTGTAAACTTTTCCTCGACGAAACTTCTCGAAGGACTCTACTCTCTTCGGCGTAAGGGAGACGCAAGTATAGCCGAGGATACACCGCAATGCAAATAAGAGAATACCAGACGCGCGATCCCCGAGGCTGTAAATTACCGAAATAATCCGGCGGTTAATTCCTACCCGCGCTTTATTACTGCTCTTGATCCGTTAAAATTAAATTCATAAATACCCGCCAATCTCGAGATCCCTTTCCCTCTCCCTATTCGTCTTCCTCGTTCGTAAATATTTCCACGCCGTCATTCACGCGTGGAAGGTCGTCGTCGCGCCTACACGACAGGTTGGATGTTTCGAGCGCAGGTCGAAAAGAAAAGGCTGATGCTTCGTAGGCGTGCAGCTAGACGCTCGTATATACGAAGGAGAGTGAGTTGTATAACACGAAAACTACATTATACTATTCAAACGATTGCAGGCCGCGCCGGGCAAGTTGACATTGTTGTTTCTGAGGGTCGCCCGAGGGCCCTGCGAATATCTTAGCGAATATCGTAGGATACGTACAGCTATGTATACGTGATATATATATATATATATACATATATATATATATATATATATATATATATATATAAAATATATTATATTATATTATAAATATTGTATTATATATTATATATAATACCTATACATATTCACGCGTGGATTGGTGCATGTATCTTTGATATGTGTATATACATAACATTTGTGTGTGTGTATATATACGTGTGTATACACCGTGTATAAGCCCTCAGGGCTTGTGAACGCTACGCCGCAGCCTCTCTCTCTCTCTCTCGCTCTCGTCTTCCTGCGACCGTATATACTAATCAATAACCATGAATCGCTCCGGTAACAGTGCCATGCACGTTCCGTTGCACCGTTATTGTTACTACGCGAGTGCTCGCGCCACCGTGAAAATTATTATCGCCTAGGTCCGCTCGCGATATCGTCCGCCATCCGGCGAGAAACTCGTAAATCGTGACGAGCGAAGCTCTAGGAAATCTGGCATCCGCCAGGTAGCATCATCGAATCATGGCACGTGAGAAATAAAGAAAAAAAAAGTGCGCGCGTAAAAAAATTTATGCGACAGGATGACAAAAGTATTCCATTTAGCCGCGGAAAAATATTGAAATGACATTACAATTTTGTTAAATGTTAATTATATTTTTTATTAACTTTTCTAATCCTGTACGCGTTATATCTACATGTTTTTGCATAATTTGGTTATTAAGAAGGATGATCAATCAGCATCAATTAGCATAGAAATGTAATACTAATGTAAAATATATATGCGTTCGCTGCATATATTTCTCCGTACGTCAGACTTGGAAACGAAATTGACCGACGGACAGTTCTCGTCATTAATTACCATCTATCTGTCGAGGTTAAAGCGATCTCGCCCGCAGCGGTTGGAAGAAGCGCGCACACACGATCCCAGAATTCTGTTTCGCAAGCGCGTCTCTGAACACGGCCGCTAAAATTAAAGATATAATTCTCGGTTTATGAGCCGGGTCGCGATTAGGGCTCGTCTAATTGACATAAGAATGATAGAAGGGCCTTTAGAAGCTGCGCGGTATCATTTCCTTACGAGAAAAGCGTAAAGCGCTTTTCACCACGGCTAATATTAATCCCTGCAATTTTAATGCTCACGACCCCGCAGCCAAATTTCAATAAGGTCTCTCCTCCCTCGAGCACGGGCGCCGAGCTCGCATAATTGATTTCCAGTTTTTTTCTCCATCGCGACAAACTTTTCCAGCCGCCCCTCTGTGTCCGCGAGATTCGCGTCTCGAGAAGAAAAATGTGTAAAATCGGCGAAAATATATTTCGCAGAAGGTGCGTAGTGTCTGTTTCTTGCTAGGAAACATTTAAAAAAAATCAGGCTATAATATGATCTCAAACTCGTTAGATATATTCCGAAGCAAATTGATTGAAAAGGACAATTGCGTGAAAAAAAAAAAAATGATGAAAGCTTTTCTCTGGTCTTCTCCCAAGCATCATGAAAGAAACGGAGGCAATACTCTGGACAAGGACGTTCGTCGCCGCGCAGATTCGAAAGGCGTTTTCGCGAGTGAGAGAAAGATGAGCGAGCGCGAGCTGGGTAATCGTTAAAGCATTTCGGAATCAAGTCGATCCGGAATAAGCCTCGGGGTGGATGCAAGGGCTGGTGTTTCGTCGACGACGATCTCTAATAAAGTTCAATTATCCCCGGAAACGTTTGAGAGAATGTAGAAGATACGGGAAAGGGGGTACCAGAGCCGTCGAGAGAAAGAGAAACCGGGAGAGATGATAATCTAAACGATCGCAAAGTGGGCTGCAGAAACGCGCCGAAATTGGCAATAACAGGGTGGCGAGGGGGAAGGAGGGAAAACGGGGGAAACACAGCGCGCGGCGTATATACCACGGGGCCCCGGCGCGAACTTCCTATTCTGGTTAGCATTCAAATTGAATCTTCGTGGCGGCCGGTCGTGAAGAGTTACCGCCGTTAATGGACCTCGCAAACGCTCTCAAATTGCTGGCAGACTGCTGAGACGACGCGGCCCTACCTAATCTACCGGCTTGATTCTCCGTCAGGTCTCTCTCTATCTCTCTCGTCTCGTTCCGGCCTGGACGTATGTCGCGAAACTTTTTGGATCCACGACGAGAGCCCGGGTCGGAAAATAATTGCTGCTAATGCAACGGTATATATAGCGTATATATGTATATCGGCCTGCGAAAGAGTCTTTTTAAAAGCTTGCGAAATGTGATAAGCGGATTAAAACGTTGTCCTGAATTTTATTAAACTCCCTCGATGAGCTATGAAAACGTCACGCGTGAGAAATAGACACGGATGGATACTAAACACGGTTATTTTCTTCAAAGTCCCTTTCTTGCTAATTGCCATTTTCAGCGTGTCCAATTTTATCCACTTAATTTTAATTTATATAGCAATCTCTTGTCAACGCCATCGCGAAAAGTCGTCCGATCGGTCGCGAGCTGACGTGCGTTACGAGTTACGTGGCTCATTGCCCGTCGATGTAATTCGAGAAGCGAGCGAGTCGAGGGAGAGAGAAAGAGAGAGTTCCCTTCCGCCGCGTTACTTTTCTTCCGTTAAACCGAATTAGCTCGCTTGATTTAAAGCCCGGAAACGTTTTATCGTGTTACTGTCTGAAAAGTGATTTCGCTCACCCTTCGGCACGAAGAACGTGTATAATTTTTCCGAGAGGCTCGGTAATTCGAGACGTCGTTTATATACGTGCTCTCTAATTTTCTCATTTATATGCTTACGCTCGCATATCTCAACGCGTCGGTTTGCTCGCAAGAACGACCGAACATTGGTCACCGCGCACAGGTTTCTTAGTCCCGTTCCACGAGTTTCTGGACTCGTCCTAACGACCCTCTAGCAGAGATTCGAAATGGCTAATTTAGCGCGGTGGCTCCCACGGGAACGGGGGAGTCGTGCAACTCGGAGAGGGAACAAGTAGTACGCGAAACATGGACTAAGCGGGTGGAAGAAGCAGAGGGAGGCGGGATGAGAGACCGGGGATCTCCATGTCTTAATATAATTCTATTAGAGGTAACTATGCGAGCTCTGGCCTGCGCCCATCGCCATTGGATTTAATCACGAACTCAGCCAACCGTGCGATATCCTCCCGCGCAGCACCTCTCGGACGATGTTGAAGAGATGGGAGAGGGAAAAGAGAGATGGATCGAGGAAACTCTTATTGTCAAACTAATCCTTCGCGTTTCTGAAATTTACGATCGCACGGCCTCCTTGACGGAGTCTCGAGTAGATGAGACCATTCGTAGTAATTATTCATGGAGGGTAGAGACACTAGGTCGTCTCGAGCATTCTCGCGCAAACTAAACTAGATAACCGAGCGACTGGTTAAAACTAACCAGAGGGAGAAGCGAGAAGTCGAATCGAACGAAAGGTCGCCCTTCTCGCTAGACGGAGTGCGTAAGAACGTGTAAATAAATTTCCATTATCTTGCGTGTGTTACAGCCGAGTTGAAAATGGACGTTCTACGGGAACGGGAGGTCAAGGACAGTCTGGAGCGGCAGTTGCAAGACGAGCAGAAGGTGCGAGGTGAGTACCAGAGCATTTTACTTGGTCGCGAAATCGCGAGAGATCCGCCTCTTATGGATAAGTTGCACCGATTCGGGTGCCAACCTAATCCGTCTCGCATTTACAGCTTTGAGAAAATTAACTTGGTCGGCGCAAACACACGTACGCATTGTGCATCGAGCGGGTTTTCGAAGCGAGACATATATACTCGCCGATAAATCGAAAAGCTGTCGTGTCCGTCCGTCAATTCCGCGTTTATCGTATTACTCTACGTTGGGGGTCTTCGCCTTAAATCCCCGTAACGTTCCCTCGGATTCGCCTCCGATTTCGTCATCTTTTGGTCTAATAGTCTAATGGCAGGAAAGTGAGATCCGGATCGTCGAATCGTATCAGATGTCAAACTTTAATAGAATAGTTAGCGCTTCCCTTTATCAGCCACAAGATCCTACGAGTTGTGCGCAACTATTTTCGAAACATTATCTAGAATAATTTTAGACACGACTATATTTTTAAAAATGAACATTTCATGAATCGAAGTATCAGAAAAGAATGTATTATATTGTTATTTTAATATAAAATTCCCAGTCACTCACAGTTTTATTTATTCTTATTATAATTTTTCACGCATTAAGCGGGCAGATTCAATCCGACTACGTGAACGCGAACGTCCGCGCCAGAACTGGATCTTTGGTTCCCGCTCGCAGATATAATATCGCGGATTTTCGAGGCTCGACAATGTCGACGTCTCGTCTGACGTGACAACAATGCGAGACTCGATAAATATGTAAAAGTCGGGAAGAACGCTCACGCCATATTCGTGGCTTTACGAAACGCGACGTGCTATTCTATTCAAGAATAATGAGCGAAATGGTCTCTCTCGGGGTAAAACTGGCGCAACCACGCCTCGGAAAAAATTATGCAATTAAAATATTGTATATAGTCGCAAGGGGATTTCGTAAATATTCGATTATACATATATATATATATATATATATACATTTCTCTTGGATATTGTCGTTGAAAATGATTCCCACAAAGCTGGAATTTTCGATAAACACGAGGCGAACGTATAGACGCGAATGCGTTTCGGTCGATTCTCAGGAAAAACGACTCGGCGAGGCCAGGCCCTCGCGGTAACACGAGCCTGTGACAACAGCAGTCCATTAGTCAACCAGCTCGGTGTCAATACATGAATATGACAGCCAGTCTCACGGAATATCCTATCCATCCTCTTTCTCTCTCTCTTTCTCTCCCTCATCTTCTTTCCCCTATTGCTTCGTCCTTCCGACCGTAACGTCAAGCGAAACCATTACTCGCCCTATGATATCGCAAATATAGTAAATAGTCTGCCCGCATTGTGCGCCCTATCGATAACTTTATCCGCGCGAGAACGATGTATGCGTTCTCGGCGCATCTTTCGCACGCGTACGACATTACGTTATCACTTAAACTACAACGATGTTCGAGAGATCCCCGTGTCGTGTATCGTCGTTGATTTATATTTTCACAGAGTATATACCTTTACTATCGATTGAATTCTCTCGAAATACCTTCCAAGTACTTTCCACGTATGTATGTGTGTAGACATACATACCTCTCGTCGTATTTATACGCGACGATGAATATATCATCAAAGGTAATGTATCAACTCCGCGTCGGAAATTCCCACCCTCCGAGCAGAGGCGCGAGCGGACGCGAGAAAATTCCCCCGTAAAAAATAATAGTTCGTTAAGAGAGAAGCCTCTCTCCCCCGGTGTAATCTCGTCTCTCTGTCGAGGGCGGATCTCGCGGCGGTACGTCGCGTACGAGGCGTAAGGCGATACATAATTTCGTGCGTAGCTGCTCGCGCGGCTCGCAGGATTCTAAGATGATTGATGACCGGCCAGTCCCACGGATATTTACGCAGGCACTTCGTAAGACTTCCTCCTCTCATTCGACTAATGACCGCCTTGTAAGAGATACCGTGTCAACCTTTACCGTCCGCCGCGCCGGCCGACGACGACGACGACGACGACCTCGGGGTGCTTTAACGAGGGCGTATCCGTCGGCAGTTTTTCCGATCGAGTACTCCGCGTTACACACCCCTTTTTCCCCCGCGGAACGACGACGCACACGTGCGCGAAGCTTCTCTCTTTCTCTCTCTCTCTCTGCCACGAAGTTTAAAATACCAAGATGACAGCCCACGCGCGCGCATTTGCTCAGATCGATCGTCGGGTAAACTCCGAGTAACAATAATGATAAAAACATTGTGCGAGTTTAAAAATACGCGTGAGGCAAAAGTGTAACGCTAATTAGAAGGCAGCGCCGCTTCGGAAAGGAATTTACCGTTCCCCGGGGATGAATGTCTCGTCAATTACGTCTTCTCGTTACGCGATACCATTACGAGAGAGAGAGAGAGAGAGAGAGAGACGCGAGTGTCAACGACGTCGACGGAGGCTCGCTTTATGCGTGATTCTACGGGCAATTTGTGCTCACGGAATCGAAATCGTATATCGCGATATACGACGTCGAAGGGGAAAGCGACGTTATTAGCCCGTTTAGAGCCCCGCTTGGCATTTCGGTAAAGGTTGAAATCCTCGACCTCCCGCCGCCTCGGTGGATGGGGGTTCGTATTATCTTAGCAAGGGGCTGCGAGAAATCCGGCTTCCTTTGCCTCGGTGGTATCGCGAGAGCGGAAGTTGTCAGAGTTGAATGCGCGACTTTGTCGAGACGGCGAACAATGAGATGACCTTTCGCAGTTGACGACTATACGCAGCAGCGCCTCCTGAGCCTCGTGCTCGCGATATAAAGAGCAACGACCTCTCGATTTTGAGTTTGTTCAACGATCCTTCGAGGAAATCAAAATTGAAAATAATATAAATATAAATTGAGAGTGTCAAACAGGCAATAAGAGCCAAATCGCGGATGACAGTGCGTTATCCGCGATTTGGCTCTTATTGCCTGTTTGACACTCTCAATTTATATTTATATTACAGAGCCTTGTTAAATTCTTAATTTGAAAATAATAATTGATTAATTTGAAAATGAAAATAAATAAAAATCCATTGATAAAGTCTGACTCGTAACAAAACTCGTTTCGTTTAATTTGGCCGTCAACAGAAACGTCAAAAGATTACGAAACGCAAGAATGGCGTCATTGTTTTATATATGGACCGTATGAGGAATTTTCAGTATCAATGCTTACGAAGCTCGTTTCCCACGTTTCTTTCGACGCTTACGCAAACGCGGAAGATTGCATTCAGACTTTGTGTTTGGAATAATTACGAAATCAGACTCCGGGTAGGCGTGCGTTGCTGATACTTACACGTCCGCGGTAATATTAATATTAGTATTGAAACGTTACGCGCGTACGATGAAAGAATAACAAACACGACGTAAAGAAACACGGATCCGATCCTCTGGCGGATATTCTGGCCGGGTTCGTATCGTAACCCCGGATGCACGAACGAACGAACGAACGAACGAACGAGCGACATTTTCGCGCAAAAGCAAAAAGCTTCCGACACGCGTAAACCTTTGGAACCGCGGAAGCCTGGGAACCAACAGCTGCCTTTGCCGCTGGTTTACACGGAGCTGCGGCCTCCCTGTAATTAGCCGAGTCGTTTGTCGCGAGACCCGTCGAGAGGAACACCCCTTTCAAGCCTTCTCACACCCCCTCGCGGCAATCTATAAGAGGTCCGTTGTTAGCTACCTCAAGTTGTACCGGTGTAAGAATAAAAAAGAAGCTTCGCGCGACAGTATTCGATCAATTACGTCGCGTTATTAAATCGCGCTTCGACCGGTTCGATCATCTTTGCGAGATTAAGAAACAACATTTTTATTTTCCCATAGAAAGAGTCGCGAAAAGAAACGACATTAATATCACCGATACGCGACGAGATTAGTCATCCGTAATGACAAACATTAGACTCGATCGTATCCGATTACGGTTATGGGAATCTCGAATCGCGTCGCTCCGCTGCGGAATTAATATCTCTCCTGTGTGAAGAAAAAAAAAAAGTAACTGTAACGACCCGTTATCTCCCGCGTCGCACGGACGACAAACGGAATTGAAACTGCACAATCAACTCGCCGAGATTTATATACGACTCTCCCCTCGAATTAGCCGGGCCGTAATGCTGGGATCGGGTGTCGGTGTAATTGGGACCCGAGGGACTTTCCCGTGTTTCAACCCCTGCCCGCCCACGTCGGAGTTTGTGTGCCCTCTCGTTCGTTCACCGGACGAAGTCGACAACGCGATCGACGTCGTCGCGATCCGACGACAGAGACCAAGAACGATTTCACGCTGGCGTGGCGATGACTGCGAAATACCTAATATCGGGGGTACGTGAAAAGTAGGTCGGTCGATTGCAAGTAAAAAATTACGAGAACGCCGGGTCGCTATACTATATATGATTCGGCGTATTTATAATCGTCTCTTTTCTCCGGGAAAAAATGTGTTTCTTCGTTCGTCTCTTTATTCCGCCACGAGTCAAAGGCTAATTCTCGGAAGAATCGACGACGATAACGCCCACGATGACAATGTTGATGACAACACGGCGCTCTCGTGCGTAACGGCAGTCGATTCGCTTTGAAGTGAATAGCGTTTATAGCGATCGAACGGGAACCCTCTTCGATGTTGCAGCTACGTAAAACCAGAGTGGACGCAACCCCCCAGCCAGTCGATCGTCGTATGTATACGATGTGTACGTTACGCGCGCGCGCGCGCGCGCGCTACACAAATTCACACACGCGGAAACGTGCCAATGACCATCGTCACCCTTTCGCGCGAGGATCTTTCTCTCGCGAGTATTCTGATTCATTGAATCCTGCCGATGCTGTTCGATCCTGTTCACTGCGCATCGAGCAAAGTCACCGCAGTGGACAAACATTAGGAGGCTCGCGCGCTCGTACCGGAAGTTGGAGGGTATTAGCCCGTCGAGTGGAACGAGAACGCGTTATGCTATTGCCGGCAAAATGAGCACGTGGAATATGTCGAGCGAGGCGAAACGGACGGCGGCGCGCCGCTCGTCCAAAAAATA